TTCTAAGGCAGTATGTGGCTAGTTTATTAGGATTAGCCGGCTGGACTTCTATGTCACTTGACAAAATTAAAAACATGCTGTAGAAGTGGTCTTTGTGGGTTCCACAGATTAGTTGAGTACTTATTATAGATTTAGGTGGAAGCCGTTGTGTTGTGTAATGTGATTACAATTTTTCGACGGCAAAGAATGTTCTAGTTCTGTTTATAAAAAATGAAGTGGCTTTGTTTGAAGTGGTGGTATTAAATGGGCATTTGCACTTAAACAAATATGCTGCATTTTAAGAAAAACAATGTGGAAGGCAAGCCATGGACCACTGCTTATGGAGATCTCAAGCTTTGATTGCCAAGTTATGATAGTAGAATTATTTATTCTAAGTCGTGCTGATTTTGTGATGTTGATGATCTTGAAAAAGGGACTGGTTTATGTTAATAACTCCCTGAACCACATATGATTGATGCTTCTTTTTTCAAAACATTTTCAGGTTTGTTGGAAATCGTGGTCTTTGTGGAAGACAAGTCAGTGTGATATGCAGAAATGCCATTGAGGGACCTTCAGCAACTCCTGAATCTCCTGTTTCAGGTGTTTTATCTTCCCCAAATGGAGGTATCACCTAACCCTTGTGGGCGATTGGCTGCCATGACAATGCATGATGCTTCTTTTATGTCTATTAGTTATGTCTTTTTTTGATTTATTGAGCCTCATGGATGGATATGCTTTCTATTTATTACAAAGCATTGATCTTTATTGTTATTCATTGACATATTCAATGTAATCCGTATGTTCAACATATAAACTTTTATAATGTTAGGTAATATTTACGAATGTGAATGCTTCTTTTTTGCTTTTCTAAAGATTTTCTATATTAAATAGAATGATGTTACAATGTTATGGGGAGGTCTCAAAAGAGAACCATGTTTACTGCTCCACTCCTAATTATAGAAACTTGTCCAGATGAAGTTCACTCGTGTTTGACAACATGAAGTTAGGGGAGGAATAATGAACTTCCCCATTATTGTACAACTCTCGTGTTTCATGTACATAACTTATACAGTAAAGAAGCTCCCCTAGAACTTCCTTACTCCCTTGTACTTAAGAAAAAAAGTTCCTTCTAAAATGACGGATGTTAAAATAGGAACTTGACCCTCGAAAAGGGCTTCTTCCTCGAACCTTATTCTGCCTCCCTCCTTTTATATATATTTATATTATATTATTTATATAATATTTGTAAATAATTATGTTGTATTATATATTATGTATATTACATAGTGATTGTCTACAAAAAGACTATTTACTTTTTGTACAAGGAGATCACAATCATTCCTGTCCTTTAGGTTTCGAAATGGATGGTTGTAAGAGTGTCATTAATTAGACACAATTTCAAAAAAAAATTCTCAGACTTTGTAACTCACCCCAAGCCATCCAATTTGACATCTAATGAGTAGAAATAGTTGACCTTCTTGTACAAAAGGTTAATGGTCTTTTTGTAGA